AACACAGTACTGACCAGGTGCGGTGGCTCATGCCTGTAATCTGAGCACTTTGGGAGGCGAAGGCGGGCAGATCACAAGGTCAAGAGATCAAGACTGTGTTGACCTACATGGTGAAACGCCATCTCTACTAAAAATAAAAAAAATTTACCTGGGAGTGGTGGCGCGTGCCTATGGTCTCAGCCACTTGGGAGGCTGAGGCAGGAGAATTGCTTGAACCCAGGAGGCAGAGGTCTTGAGCCGAGATCGTGCCACTGCACTCCAGCCTGGCGACAGAGAGAGACTCCGACTCAAAAAAACAAAAACAAAAACAAAACAGTACTTACTCTTAGTGTAAGGGCTATCATATTTTTTATTCTGTTCTTTTTTATTTTTTAAAGATTGCCAGCTATGGCCAATAGTTTGATAAGCATTGTAATGTGTGTGAGCAAGCACTTCAAACTTGCCATATACATTATTACCATTTTAGCCAAGAATTTCAAGTACAGAGAATTTAAATTTTGCTAGTATAAAACATTGTACTATTATAATAACGGACTATAGGTAAAAATAGTACAGTATTTACTCTTCCATATTGTATATGGTAATTATAATTACTATAATTATAATAATAAATTGTGTTTATATTTTAAGTTTAGTAAATGAATATATTCGTCACTTAATTACTCAATACATCTGTGGTAACTTTTGGAGGCCCATAGACTACATCCTTTAACCGCAACAGCATTAGTTTATAATAATTTCTTAGAACTGTGTTTGCCAGCAGTGGGAAACAACATTGAGTAAGTCATAGTTCTTGCCCTGGATATACCCAAGAGAATTAGGCATTTCACAGATAATTTTAATGTGATAAAGTATTGTTATAGGTATATGTTCAAAGTACTCTGGGGATAAGCATGCTAATTGTCTAGGTTTGAGGTAGGCTTCACCAGGAGGTACCATTTAGCTATTAATACTAACTCTTTTATAGGTTGAAACTGATTTCTCAGCTCCAACATCAAGAAGGAAAACTCCATTTAACCCAGGTAATATATCTTTCTTTTGTGGCTCAGTTCTATTATAAGGTAGGTTCTTTATTTAAATGATATTAAAATTAATTGCTCTCAAGTGGACAGACTTAGCATTTTGTTCCTTATAGTTGTTTTCAGTTTTATCCAAAGTACTTTTAGAAATTTCTTAATCTTTTTATTAAACTTCTCTTTACAGATTTAGGAGAAAACTCTGGTGTTGGAAGACTTTTCACTAATGCTATGGAATCTTTAGATGAAGAAGAGAAAGATTATTATTTTTCAAACTCTGATTCTGCAGAGTAAAATGAGAAAATACGATTCCTGGGGGTTTTACCATGAAACAGACAGAGTATTTGTATTTTCAATTGAAGTACATGTATTTTCTTTGTAGTTTATGAAAATGTGGACTTTTTTGAAGGTCTCGTGTGTTTGTATTCAAAGTAAAATATCCTCATTGGTGCAGCTTACTAAAATTTAAAGAAAATTGCTTTTGCTTGTGTAGATATCTGTAAATTTGTTTTTGCACATTAAAATATATATAGATACTTCTTTTTAAATGATAATCTCAGTCTGTTTACTTTAAGAAAATCATTTCCCATTTTTTTAATTTCAAGAAAATTTTACTACCATTTAAGTAAAGGAAGGTGAAAGGATGACAGAGGTTGTATTGGCAGCTACTGAATTCATGAAAACCTTTACGTTAGCATTTGTTACCAGTTGTTGTCCAAGCCTGATGTTTAAATTACACATTGTTGAAACTGACATGCTTGTCTCCTGATTTGTTTAACTTGTGAGATTGGTCTGTCTATGAAACCTATGTAAATTTAGTTTATTACTTTGCCATTATTTTACTAGGTGAAATTAGAGAACAAAATCTCTTCTTTATTTACATATGCAGATACAGCTTAAATATTTTGACTAAACATTCAGTTAATAGATTCACCATTAGGAGTTAAATTAATATGTGAAATTTCTTTTAGAAATACATTTTCGTTTGTTATGAAACTTGACATAGGATATTTTCCCTCTGGCTACACATTCACCTACAACTTGTTCTCTAGTTAGACTGTTCAAATAAAGTTAGTTTGCTTTTATAGTATTTGTTTCTTGTTTTTTGTTATTACTGGATGATAGATATACAAACAAATCACATTTTGTTACTGGTCCTGTTTAAGTTTCCTCAAGAACAAATACACAGGTAATAACATTTTCTTGTTTCTTAAGTATTTTAGTCAGAGCAGGCATGGTGTCATATAGCTGTAGTCCCAACTACCTTGGAGGCTGAGGAAGAAGGATTGCTTGAGTGTAGGTGTTCAAGACTGAAGTGTGCTATGAGCATGCCTGCATCTAGCTACTGCACTGTAGCCTGGGCAACAGAAAAAGACTCCTTCTCTTAAAAAAAAGAATTTAGATGTAATAATGAGCAGTTATATA